AAACTTAACTTAAATTATAAAATCGACACGAACCACATCTAGGAATGGGTTTAAAAATCTAAAAAAAATATCAAAAATTATCTTTTTATCCAAATAATATATTCCCAAGAGAAGAACATAAAATAATTTATTTTTAACCCTCCTTTTACATATATTACTTATTAGTTAAATATTACTAACGTTTATAGCCACTAGCTGTTGGCTGGTGCCTGTTACATATTTTACATTTTTAACAATACTATAACCTTATATGGAGATTTTAAAAATAATATTTTTTCAATAATGGTATAGCAGCAGTAATACAAAGTTAAATTCTCACGAGATTTGGTATAGTCATAATATTAAGTATTATCATTAATGATTTTTAATTATATTTAAAATATATATTTATTTGAACATTGAATTTTATTATTCCTCTGCCACTTATAACTCTTTAAGTACTTATTTAAAACTTCGTTATCGATTAGTCAAAATTATAGCATAAGCTACTTTTGTATACATACTTTTATTTTTATTTTTTGACAAACTTTAAAAATAATTAGTTACCTTTAAGGTATAAGTATACTTAAGAGATTTAACAATAGTGGAATACCATACATGTTAAACGTTTAGTTTACTGTACCGAATTTAATACAAATGATTTACAAAATATGTATAAGTAATTGTTGAAAAAAACTATATTTACCTCCTTATCTGGGTTAGAGTTGACTGATGGTGTATAAAATGTCAGACACAAAAAAATAAAATAGTTTATATTCGTCATTATATTAATATGTTATGGCTTTCAATAAGGCTACCAACTTTATCTGAAAACTACTACATAATGATTCTTATGCTCAATAACAGACAGTTTTATAGTAAATAGTTTTGGATCAAACATTTTTTTAAATATTTATATATATATATATATATATATATATATATATATATATAAGTCAAAGAAATTCACACTACAATTCACTGCACAAACACAAAACATTTAACCAGAGTGACTGTTTGTTTAACATGGCATGACTGTGTTATTGATTCCGTAGAAAACTTTTAGAACAACATTTTTCTAAACGTTTCTTCGGGACAATTTTTTAGTGTTATAATGTTTGAATTTCAATCCAACGGAAAAGCCATAATGAATATATGTCGGTAGAGTCTTTGAAATCAGTTGACAACTACTACATTTTTGTTTATGTAAACATTGGAAACAAAACCGCACAATGTACAAAAACTTGAATTTCTCATTTATAGATAAAAACAAAGTATCTCAGTTAAAACATGATACTGACCACATAATAGATTATCAAAGTACATAGATAATAAAATGTAAAAAAACATTTATAGTGTCATAAATTTGACACTATATAACACTTTGAGTAATTCGTCTTTAATACTCAACATTTTTGAGTGTTGCTACTAACATCATTGCGCTATTGTTTATTGGGCCAAAAATTTAAAAAAGTCAACCCTTCCCATTTGAAATCGAGAAAAACGCCCAAAAAAATGGACATCTTTTTCAACTTTAAATTACGATGCTCTATAACTTCTTCTTCTTTATTAGCCTCTTCTATTAAAAAAATTAGGTATTGCTCAATCAGCAGATATTTTCTTTTCTAAATACGTATCATGTGTAATACACCAAGCTACATGGGGATTGCACGTGGTCTGATTTTAAGAAGTTTTGTATTTAAGAAAAATGAGGTTAAAATTAATTTCGACCATTCCAATACTTTTACCGGTTAATTTGTATAAGGTGCGAGGTATTGTTTTTAGTTTAAATAATTTTTTTTATGAGTAAAAGCTATTTGGGTTTATTTTAGACCAAAAATCCAGACAAAATGTCGACTACATAGATGGTCCAATTTCAAATCTGTAAAGAGATTCGAGTTCTTTGGCTAGTTATATCATGTTATGCAGGAAGCCCGATTTCATTAAAAAAAAATTTCAGTTTCTTGTAATTAAATAAATTAAATTTGCATTTTTTTCAATATTAAAATCCGATTATTTTACTTAAAATAAGTCAATAAATCAAAAAGATCTTTCTACAATTTTTACAACAATCGAATAACAGTATTAATACAAATTATTTAAAGTTAATTTTTATAAATGGATTTAAGCAGCTTTTTACAATTTTTTTTTATCTATTTAAAATGTGTTCGAATAGAAATTTATATGAAATTACTATTTGGATATTCGTTAAAATAATATTATTATCTTAATCTTTTTTTAAAAATGATTACTGAAAATTGTGTTGAATAATTTGTTTTTAAATAATCCCCAGGTTTGCTGTGTCATAATTATGGAGTTTTAAAAACCGTAAATTTCGTAGTTGAGGCTTGATTTCAGAGCACACCAGTAGGTACACAAACACTTGCTTGAATATCATAATGCCGATTGTTATTGTCTGTTTTTCAAAACAATTTCTAAATTTCTATTTGTATATGGCGCATCGTCGTTTGAGTACAATTTTCTGTCGTTACGATTTTGGCTCGGTGGTAAACATACAAAAGCAAAAAACAGCTCATCGCAAAACAAATGCCTTACGTTAGTTAGATTGATATAAAATACAGTATCGCTGTATGCTCTGCACCGATGAAAAAAGCCAGAATAACAAGTCATTTTATGGGTATACAATACTTTATATTTACACACATGTGTGTTAAATGCGCAAGGGACATGATAAAAAAATAAAGAAGAATACAAGTCGTCTATGGTTTTCAAGTGTATTGTGCGTGTCACGCTTCGAATATACATATTGCGAACAGGTCAATGAGTCAAAATCATCATTATGTTTTTGCACCGTTGAAGAAACAAAATAACAAATCGTCGTAAAACAAATAACTTAGTGGGTCACATACCACACAACAATATGCACTGCAATGATGTGTAATATTAAATATTTCAATACGGCTACATAATCAGAATCATCACAGGGTTTTTAATAATTTTCAAATTTATAACACATTTTTTAAGACATTACGATTACACACAACTAATGAAACAGAGATTTTTTAGCTTCAAAAAAGGTATTGTATTTACAATGCTGTGTTATTTTGTTTGGTGTCTGCACCCACGATATTTTTAGCAACTCTATAAATTCGAAATTGTACCTGAGAGGTACTTTATTGGGCGAAAAATTTAAAAAAGTCAACCCTTCCCATTCGAAATCGAGAAAAACACCTTTTTCAAAACATTTGGTTACCAGTCTTCCCTTAATGCTCATGAATTAAAGCTCACACCCGTGAGAATACACTATTGACTATAGGTACTATAATAATTATTTCAAAGAGTTCTAATTACAAAGGTTTCCCGTATAGGTCTAATATAATCGATTTAGATCAGTCTAATAAATTAAACAACAATTATAGCCCAAGATAAAAAACTTTTATACTTGTATGTCAAAAGGGCCATCTTTGAATATTTATTCAATTGTAAGCCTTCAACAAAGGTCATAAGATACAAGTACCAAAAGATACCTTCAACACAAGTTCTTTCAGTGAGTTTACTTCAATTTTTCTTACATTAGTAAAAAATGTCTAGGTACTACAGCTGGAATTATAAAACGTAAAGCAAAAATAGAAACGTATAAAAACAAGTTTTGAATTAATTCATGTTTTTATAGCGTGGAACTATTGTTTTTTACACAGTCATAGTCAACCGCATTATTGTAAAAAATAAAAATATCATGTATACTTTTAGTTTTGTATTGAAGCTAAAGTAATTTGGTTCTTACTTTCAAATCTATGATCATTGTTAACGGATTATAAAAAATGTGTACATTTATTCAAATACATGTATATTGTGTGGGGAAAATTTGTTTAAAAACGTGTGAAAAAATGCAAAAAGCTGCAAGGTCCCACCGAGATTTGAACTCGGATCGCTAGATTCAAAGTCCAGAATGCTAACCATGGCACCGTCTTGTAAATCAATGTAAATAACAATATAAAATGTATAATATATATTTTTACAATTAATAATTAAAATATTATCGTATGAAACTCAGTTTTGCTACTCGAGCACGTTTACCTTACCTAACGGTAACTATTTATAACCTAAAGCAGTCAGGGCTACGATTGGTGGTATAGTATAAACAATAATTTAGTAAACAATATACAAAAAAAAAAACAGTATATAATTTCCTATTAACAAAATCGAAAATCTGCCTTTTAGACACCGTAGAGAAAATAAAAAGTTAGTCATAAAAACAATAAATAATAAAAGTCCAATAGATACAATAGACAATGTCTTCTACGAAAGTCACTTATTATCAAACTTTCGCCATGACTCAGAGTCGAGAAAAAATAATTTTAAAAGTTGTGTAATTAGATCATCTTGCTAATTTTTCACAGATTTGGTCAGTTTTTAAACATAGTACCGATCCCACTGGACTGGTTTTATTGAACACCTATTTTTTTTTTTGATATTATTGTATTAAATATAAATTTTACAAGTGTGGGGCCTATGTGTTCTAACACAATCATCGAAAGGTGTTCCATTACGGATAATGTCTAAGGTGACCGCGTTAATACATTATATAGGGTGTCGATGAAGGTTTACAACAAGCTTTGATACAAGTGTTGGGAAACAATTGATCTGTTAGCCGTTTCGTTGATTAAATACGAATGTATTTGATTTGTATTTAAACAATGACCATTTAAAACGAGCGACAGCTTACCTCCACGCTACGGTATACCCTATCACTTTTCTAGACGGTTATAGATAATATAATATCATAGATAATATAATATTTATCTAAAACCGTGTTTTTTTATGGGTGTACCAGTGACAATCACTCCTTATCACACACACACTATCACAAATTTGTCAAGAAAATGTCTGCGTATGCGTTGTTGTGTAGTGTGCATTAAAATCACAAATTAGTTGTTAAAAGAAAGTTGCGTTGCCGTTGAGAATTGAGATTTATTTTTGTATTTTCGCCTTTCTGTGAATTAAATCTAATTGAATTAGCTTAAGCGCCATAGGATACAATTTGCTTTCATTATTGTTGCTACGGGTCCGATTCGGGAGCATCTCTAGATTTTAATCTTAATAACTTGGTCGGATTCTGTGATAAATGCCTAACGTGTTGCGTCGTATTTCGTTTTTGAGTTACAATTGAGTTTTAACTGGCCTGTAATTAATTTATTATAAATATAAATTAGCAGCCCTGGTCACAGCTGTTTACGGTTTTACGTTGTGTGAGTACCTACCGTTTTGTATTTCGAATTTAATTACACTATTACCGTGTTTGCTGTCTTCCATTAACTTAGAATACTGATAGTGAATAAATAGAATCATAATCTATTAGTTTTCGTTTATTACTATTTGTTTACTCGGAGTTGAGTTGAGTGATACGGCATCAACGCAACTTTAAATTATTCTACTTTCCGTGATATTACCGTCAGTAAAATAATTTTTTCCGGTTTGTTACTTTCCGCACAAATACAGTCTACGTAATTCTCGATTCCTGAAAAATACTTTCCGTTATTTTACGGTTCGGATTTTTCCGTATTTTTACGGTCAGCGACTATACGGTCCGAATATTTATGGATTCCGTAATCTTACTTTCCGTGTGATTATTTTCCGGGTTTTTATACGCGTCCCTATCGGAATTTAACCTAAACTTGTTTCCACCCTACCTTAATATCGTTTCATCGAGTGACTACCTTTATGTGTGGTCAGTATTATCATTGTTATTTTCACATTTTGTTTTTGCCCGTTAATTCTGTCAAGTGACCGAGGCACTATTAACTAAGCGGTAAGAAAGTGCCGGCCGTAAATAAAGAACAATTGATGGATAGAAAGATAAGCAAGGACGTTTGCGTAAGGGGCGGTTGATCAATTGGTGGATCGTCAAAAATAACCTTACACTAAAATAATTAAAAAACACAGATGGTTACGAATAAAATAACGAAATAAAAATCATACTAACGTTCTGCACGTATTGCTTAATCTTAAAGGGGTGGGGGAGTTCTTACATGCTAAATGGCCACCTCGGCCTAAAAACAACAGGTATTAGACTAATTTAATAATAACAAAAATATAATTTGGACTTATCCGTCATGCCCGACGTCCGTCATTGAGCTGGTACTGAAAACTTCGACTGGAGGCCGTTGGACCGAACCCGTGGTGATCCGTTATAGCTGACTGAATCAGGCACGTAAAGAGCGCAGGTACCGTAACAAAGATGTAAACATAAAATGCCCGTAACGAACATACCGGTTATAGATCGTAAGATGCCTGGGCATATGGACGAACAGCCGCGCGGTGGTCACAAGAATGGTCGATTTAGCCGTATATAAAACACCCGGGCGCACTCAAAAGCGACCACGAGGGTGGTCGATTTACCCGTATACAAGGCGTAACACGGTTGTAAATTGTCAATGTCTTGTAAATTAATGTAAATAATAATATAAAATATATAATTTATAATTTTACAATTAATAATAAAATTGTTATCATATGAAACGTATCGGTTTTGCTACTCGAGCACGCTTACCTTACCTAACAGTAACTATGTATAACCTAAAGCAGTCAGGGCTACGATTGGTGGTGTAGTATAAACAATAATTTAGTAAACATATATATAATAAAAAAAACAGTATGTAATTTCCTATTAACAAAATCGAAAATCTGCCTTTTAGACACCGTAGAGAAAATAAAAAGTTAGTCACAAAAACAATAAATAATATAAGTCCAATAGATACGATAGACAATGTCTTCTACGAAAGTAATTTATTATCAAACTTTCGTCATGACTCAGAGTCGAGAACAAATAATTTAAAAAGTTGTGTAATTAGAACATCTTACTAATTTTTCACAGATTTGGTCAATCTTAAAAAATAGTACCGATCCCACTGTACTGGCTTAACAAGTGTGGGGCCTATGTGTTTTAACACAATCGGCGAAAGGTGTTCCATTACGCCGATGGCGGTAAGTTTACAACAAGCTTTAATACAAGAGTTGTAAAATAATTTATCTGTTAGCCATTTCGTTGATTAAATACAAATGTATTTGATTTGTATTCAATCAATGACCATTTAAAACGAGCGACAGCTTACCTCCACGCTACGGTATACCCTATCACTTTTCTAGACGGTTATAGATATAATATCATAGATAAATAATTTTATCTAAAACCGTGCTTTTCTATGGGTGTACCAGTGGCAATCACTCCTTATCACACACACACTATCACAAATTTGTCAACTGTGTCAAGAAAATGTCTGCGTATGCGTTGTTGTGTAGTGTGCATTAAAATCACAAATTAGTTGTTAAAAGAAAGTTGCGTTGCCGTTGAGAATTGAGATTTATTTTTGTATTTTCGCCTTTCTGTGAATTAAATCTAATTGAATTAGATTAAGCACCATAGGAACAATTTGCTTTCATTATTGTTGCTACGGGTCCGATTCGGGAGCATCACTAGATTTTAATCATAATAACTTGGTCGGATTCTGTGATAAATGCCTAACGTGTTGCGTCGTATTTCGTTTTTGAGTTACAATTGAGTTTTAACTGGCCTGTAATTTATTTATTATAAATATAAATTAGCCGCCCTGGTCACAGCTGTTTACGGTTTTACGTTGTGTGAGTACCTACCGTTTTGTATTTCGAATTTAATTACACTATTACCGTGTTTGCTGTCTTCCATTAACTTAGAATACTGATAGTGAATAAATAGAATCATAATCTATAAGTGTTCGTTTATTACTATTTGTTTACTCGGAGTTGAGTCGAGTGATACGGCATCAACGCTACTTTAAATTATTCTAGTCGGTAAAATGGTCTATCTTCTAGATTTAATCTTTGTCGTCTTAGCTACTTAAGTACAAGTAAAACTTGTAGTATTGTGTTATTCATCTAATTTAAATAAATTAAAATTCAGACTATTTGTTGTGTTTGTTTGTAAACTTTTTATTTTACCTTAGTCTTTTTTATAGAAAATAAATTGTATTTTGTATCTTATATATGTTTTAGGTTATCTCATTTTACAATTGGTAAACAATCAAACACAGAAACGGTACATTTATAATCTAAACTGTACAAGCCAAACAATTATGCAAGAACACTTCGAAAAAAGTTATTAATTCTATAAGTATGTCTAATGACTAATTAATTGATTAGTTTTGTACAAGTATTATTTATTACCGTTAACGTTTGTATTTTAATTGTGGCCTTTTATATAATATAGCAAAGTCCTGGGGTATAGGTATGCACTTTTTACTTTAAAATTTACAGGGTGATAATTTTATTGTGAACCACTCAATATCAGAATCAGTATTAAAACAAAACCAATATCAAAACCAAAATTTATTATATATAAGCTACGTCAAATTAGGCCATTAGCTGTCTTCTGTATTATATTATTATTATTACAAATATTTGTTATTAAATAAAAAAGTTAAAATGATGTAATCAAGTTGTCCTATTAAACCTCTATGTATATAGTATACCACACAGAAATACAACTAATGTTAAATGTCAGTTATAGAGTTTAGAAGATGTATAATTTGTTAAAAATTAAACATGAAAATGATGAAACATAAGAACACTCCTTTGAAAAATCGTTTGAAGTTATTGAACCTAAACCGTTAGATGTGCAGTTCAAAAACAATGAAATTTCTACAACTGAAGAGTATTTGGTAAAGAAAGAAGTCAACAATACTTATAATTATAATAGAGTAGTAAGCAAATCTATGAAAATATAAAATAATGTACTATTTAGTTAGGTAGAGAAACATTTGCATACTGCATTTTTTATTGATAAATCCTGAAAGATAATATACAAAATGTGTTCAAAAATATTTGATTGATAAAATTGGTATAAAGAAACTCGCCTCCAGTATTAATTATTTAACATAATATAATTTATTTATACACAAAACAGATCCGATAACTTAAAATATAGTTAAATCGTTTTTATAAATACCCCATACTTAAAAACAAAAATTTTATAATATAATAACTTAATACTTATACCACAACACATCATTATATATATATATTGAATATACACCAATTAATTTCTAGGTAAACAATAAGTTTTTTTACATAAATGAATAGGTCAGGAAGGTGTATATTAAAATACAACTAAAATTCTTAAAAGTTCTATTTTAATTTAATAGTTAAATGCTGAGCTGGAATGGTAGCAATTGTAAAGTGTAATTCTTCTAATTTTATTTTATAAGCCATTTTTGTTAGGTTTTTCAGAACTTATGAATTTAAGGCCCAAATTTATTTTTTATTAAAATAAGAGTGATCTTGAACTAATTTGTATTGAATAATTTAGAATATTCTTTAAAGTTATAAAAGAGCCATTCCCTGCTATCATTTGAAGGTGTGTTAAAAAAATGTGAATCAGAATTGTAAAAAAATGCATGTAAACATACATACAAACCACAATCATACGTAAACCGCCATTCCTCGAATTACTGTAACTAATCTTTTGTCTTGTATAGGAGTCTCCAAATACGAAAAAGCGCATTAGCACTCCTGTTGGTTCCAGCAATGTGTATATACCGAACAATTTGTGGATGAATCCACAGTTCTTGATCTCCTTGACAATTATCATTTGAATGATCTATAACACGCTTCCAATTTTGCCCGTCATTTGAAACTTCAATGTAATAAGAGAAAGGCCTACAATATCAAACAATTTGAATAAATTTTAGAGTAGTGATTGTAAATTAAATATTAGGAACAGAGTTGTGGAAAAGTTGTCGAATAATGAATACAAAATATGAACAGTTAATGCTTAATAAACATTAAGAATAGAAAACAACTTTTCAATCATTGATAAATTTGTTTGCTTTACTTATGATTAAAAAAAATTCTCAACAAATAAAAATGGTTTTAAATAAATAAAAGTTACAAATGTTTTGAATAATTATTCAAATAATTTTTTTTAAAATAATGATGATTTCAGTATAAAACATTTATAAGTTCATAACATACTTTTTACTTTCAACAGGATCCCATAACGTTATATTTATAAAGTTTACAAATGATGGTTTTGTCAACCTTATCATATTGGTACCGATTTCCATGTATCTAACCGCGAAACCCCGAGACTGATGAATTGTATTCAAATCGGGAAGTGGAGAACTATGAGACTCGTACCGAATACGATCATCGAGTACTAAAAAATTCAATAATTAAAACCAACATATTTGGTGACATACAAATTGATGTGTACAACAAGCATACTTAGCCGTCCCCGTAATTGAGGCTTATCTTGTGGCCACGTGTTTCTTCTTAATTGCATGGCAGCAGAAATTATATCCGACCTAACCAGTTGTGATTCCCTAGCTTGAGACTGTTCTCCAACACTCATTATCGGATATCTGACGGCCGATAAAACTTCAATTTTTGTATCACGATTCAGTTTGTTTTGGTTCTCATTGACCCAGCGACAAACCTCACGGAATATAACCAATTCGTTAGCATAAAAAGAGTCCCGATTGAGGATTTCTTGAAGAACTTCCTAAAAATAAAAAACAATTGTTTCTCAACTTTTCACCTTACGCTAGCAATATTATTATTATTATTTTTTTTTAAAATTATCATTACAGATGACAAAGTCCTAAAATCATTGGAATCCAATACTTCCTCGGCGTTGTCATCGATAAATTTGAGGAATTCGACTTCGAGCTCCTCGTTTTTATAAATTCTTGCCAAAGTAATGAACGTACATGCATTGTATTGGTTAATGGTTCTTTGCAAATACTTTTTCAGTGAAAGTTTTAAATGTGAAATCCCAAAGTAATCCGAAAGCTTATGTAATTCGAAAATTTCTTCATTCTGAAAAATAAATAATAAAAAATGTGTTTAATCTTTCTTTATTAACCTTTTTTCAATTGAATACATCATTTAATTTAACAGATTGAACACATATTACCGGCTAAACGATCACAAATAAATCACTAATACAAATTATATTTATGCCGTTTAATAACCGCTAAACTACGTCGATTATTCGTTACCTTAAAATCCCTTAAATCTATTCGGCCAGTATAAATATATTTAAAAATTCTTTGAAATAAAGTTAATGATACATCTTTTATTGGCACGTCCGAATCAGAAGTTTTGCTACCACCTCCATAAAATAAGATCCTAAAAATAATACACTATATAATACAAACATTAAATTATGGAGTAAAAAAGATAAGAACGATACCTTTCTCAGAGGTAAGCAAGATAATTGTATTCTACTTGATATTATTTATACCATTTTTGGGATGATGAAACCATTTGTTTTGAATGTCCAAATATACAGGGTGTCCCATTTTAAAATACTAATCGATTTGTCTCTAAAAATACTAATCCAATCAAAAAGTTGCTTATTAGAGACTTTTAGAGTACAAAGGGGGACGTTATAAAAATTAAAAAAATAGGGTCCAAAATTCAAAATTTTTTCGGTAAAACCCATAATTTAAATGGTATAACCCATAATTTGTAAATTAAGTAGACCAAGGTTACCACACATACACAGGTTACTATACATGACAAGGTTACCATGTGCATTAAAATAAAATAACAAAACTAAAAATAGCTAAAGATACTTAATTTACAAATTATGGGTTATACCATTTAAATTATGGGTTTTACCGAAAAAATTTTCCTACAAAAGTTGTTAGTTTTGATAAGAACACTTCTTTGGTTAACAAAAAAAACATGGTTTCCATTTAAAAAACAACATTTTTTTGACCGTAAGTCAGCCATTTTGAATTTTGGACCCTATTTTTTAAATTTTTATAACGTCCCCCTTTGTACTCTAAAAGTCTCTAATAAGCAACTTTTTGATTGGATTAGTATTTTTAGAGACAAATCGATTAGTATTTTAAAATGGGACACCCTGTATAAAACAAGCTTTATACAAATTTTAAATTCGTTCATCGGCATATTTCATTTGGTTTCAAAATATTTAATGTGGTAACAGCGTTAAAAATAAGTGAAAGTAATATAAGAAAAATAAATAATAGGGATTTCATTTTAGGTCACAATGAAGTGTAAACTATTGTGAACTAAAAAAAACAGTTTTCATCCGCCTCAGAAGAAAGGCCTAAAGGAATATACTTAATTACAAGAATACAATACCTAAAAAAATTGCTTCGTGAGGCTAGTATACTACGATGGGCGCGCAATCGTTCTCCTTGTACCTCCAAAACAACGTCTGAATAACTAAATAAGTCTTGAAATTAATTAAAAATACACATACGAAAATAAAAAGTATTAATACCGAAAAAAGTGTTACCAAAAAAGCGTTAAGCTGTTATTTTAAATTATTTGTTGTATTTACAACCATCACATCGATTCAAGTAGTTATAATCTCGAACAGCCTCCCCCAAAATGCATTAACTGTAAACTGGATCATTCCGCCTTCGACCGTTCTTGCTCAGAATGGGCTAATCAAAAATGAATTAAGCGTATAATGGCCACTGCAAATTTCTCGTTTACTGAAGCCTCGAGGGTTAGACGCTCATGACTTTCCAACAAAGCTGTGTTATGCCGAAGTTTCTAATATTGACACCATTAACTTTAAGAATAATATTGTTGTTCAGAAATCCAGCTTAAATTCCTCTTCTTTTTCCCTTTCTAAAAACATTTCACCCTCTCCCCCTAAAAAAACAAAAAAGATTTTACACTCCCAATAGCCGATTCACCTACACTTCCTTCTTTTCTAACTCAAAGTTCACACTTCATTTCAAACTGTAGCTTTTTACAATATGTTAGTCAGAATCTCCCCTCTCATCATCCTTCGGATTGGATGGTCTCCCTCGCTGAACAAATTTCTTCCTGCCTCCTTTTGGCCTAAAACTTTAATTGAGTCTTCCATACTAAAATACTTTAATAACACTGTTACTGATGAAGACTCTCTAATATACTAATGACGGTCGTTTCTCTCCCTTCTCCTTCTCTTTCTTTTTCAATCCTTCAATGGAATGTTCGTAGCATTCACCCTCGTTCTTCTGATCTTTCTCACTTACTACACGAACACCAATGCTCATTTGCTCTCCTTTCGGAATCCTGGCTTCTACCAGGATCACAGTTCCATTTACCCAGTTATAACATTATACGTTCTGAGATCGTTTTGATGGCTATGGTGGTGTTGCTATTGCAGCCCATAAATCCATTCAGATTCGCCCTTTATCTATAACTCCCTCTCTAAGTTCTTTGCGCCTAGATCACTCTATTGACCTCGTAGGTATTGAGACCTTCTCAAATAGTTCCTATTCCCTCAACCTATAGTCCATATATATCCCTCCTTCCTCAAATCCTTCCAAATCTGTTCTTAGTAATATTTTTTCCCTTGTTATTAACAATTTCATTTTGGGCGGTGACCTAAACGGTCACCATCAGGCTTGGGATTCTAATAATAATATCAGCCTTCGTGGTGAAAAAATTTTTTTCTCCATCACCCACTCCAATTTGTTCTTATTAAACACTGGAGTTCCTATCCGTCACAGTCGTCTCCTTCATCCTAACTCTGCTGTCGACTTATCTATTGCTTCCACTAACCTTTCGCTATCTCTTCTTCGGTCGGTACTTGATGAGTCCCTCTGGTAGCGATCATTTTCCTATTATTAATAAACGTTTATCCCAATCCCCTATTTCTTCTTCTTGTACTAGTCCTCCTCAAAATTGTTCCCTTCCTAGATTTGTTTTTTTAAAAGCAGACTGGGCAGGTTTTTCTTTATATCTTGATCGTCTCTTACTCTCTTTTGTAGCTTCCCCTTTTCCAATCGATGACTACCAGTTTTTTGTTACATGTATTATGGAGGCCGCTAAACTGGCCATCCCTACCCTTAAAGTGTCTAATAAATATAATAATTAAAGCCTCCAGCTTTAATGGTATTGTCAAATCGGTAATTGTACATATTGTGAAACCGCCCTGCGAACTGGCAACCGGTCTTTTTGTAAATAAATATAAATTATTGTAAATTATTGTGAATAAATGATGTCGGCCTGGGAGGGAAGCAAAGCGAAAGCGTTCCTTTCCCAGTCTGGGCAATTCGGCGATAAAAAAAAAAAGTCATGCCTTCAGGCCTTGTCCTCCGACCATTTTAATTCCTCACTCTCCCCCCCCCTTATTCACCTCATTAAATCTCTAATATATAGCTTCTTCCTTAACAAGAAAAAAGTCAAATTTCTGTGGGGGCCCGCACATTTGGGTATCTTTGGCAATGATAAAAATTCATCTCCTTTTTGTACCCTCCATCTTAATGAAGCTCCTTGTAATTTTAACCACATTCTCCTTGACTGTCCTACTCTGCACCCCAACAGGAAAAAATTACTTTCCCATCTTAGTTTGTTTGGCTATAACTCCCTGGATCCCTCACTCCTATTAAATCGTTATCGTTCTACTTATATCCTTCCTTTATAAAGCTGGTATTAGTTGTTTACAATTTTTTTAAATTATTATTATTATTTTTTTTGTATATTTATTAGTAATTGTCGTGATGTAATATTGTAAAATAAAAGCACATTAAAATAAAAAAAATTAATTTAAAAAAAAAAGTTCATAATGAAAGCGTTGTGGCATTTGATATTTTGCCATTTTGTGTACTACCTAGTAACTACTTTAAATAAAATTAGAATTAGCAAAACGAGACACACTTCCAGCTTACTTTTAACATCTTATCACAGGTATAATAGATTATAATTTTAACAGAATATAATTTGATTTGGACTAGAGTATTAACTAACTGTATATAAGATAACCTTGATAAATTTAAAAAATAATAAAGTTAAATGGTACAAATTCAATACCACATACCTGCCGCTTTGATAGAGGTCGCCTATGTCGCTGATCAAAACGTTGGTGTCATCTATTTGGCCTTCTTTGGGAGACGAATCCTCGGGAGACGAATCATCGGTAATTTCAGGCCGTGCCATATAACCTTCAAATCAGAACATGCCAAATAAAATTAATAAAACAGCTGATTTTTATGACGAGTTTGTATGATTTATTTATTCATATAGCATTCACCCACCCGATTTTATATTTATCATCTATTTGCTTGTTTAATATTTTAAATAATATAATTATGATACTTATATCGCCCACAACAGAATAATCGGAGTACAATAATTTGTTTTTGTAGGAAAGAGGAAGAATTCTTACAAGAACTTAAATAAGTTAGCTTAAGTTAACCTTAAGTTCCATAATATTATGTACATAACTTAGGTATCGCTTATAGGTTGCTGCAATTCAATTATAAGTAAATAAAATAATTTGTATATTAGTAAAATGTATTATTTACCTGGACTTAACCATAAAATAATAAATGCTAAACAATAAAGCTGCATAGTGTTATAATACGTGTTAATATAATATCAAATGTTGAGCACTTTAAAAAAAATCACCATAAAGGAAACCACGTCAACAGATATTGAGCACTAGATTTATTACGATACCGTTTAATATTTTTCTACACTAAACGGAATATATTTTAAAATAATCATAGTGTGTAGTGTGTACATACGTGTACGAATTTTTTGCAAAGGCGCTTGTTATTGCCAAACATTAAACAGAAGTTTCAGCTGACGTCAGCCTTGTTGAACATACGAATAATTCGTTTGTACAAATTATTTTTTTCTTTTTTGAATGTACGCTGCAAGTCAGTTTTTAGGATTAGTCTTCTATATAATAGAAGTATTATATTATATTCTAACTAATAATAAATGTGCAATGTTATATTATCAGTACAAATTTAATAATAATAATGAGACTATTAAAAATATATTCTGGAAGAAGCTCAGACAGCTAGTATATTATAATAATCATACGATTAGATAACATACTTTATAATTAACTCAATTAATTATTAATTAGCCTAATTGAGATATTATATTATGTAAATTAACGTGAAGCGTCGTCGGTGGGCGGCTTCTTACTCAAGCCTAACATGTTACTGTAATCAAAATTAGCATATATAATCATTATACCAGTAATTGTATACATTGTACATACCAAATAAAAAATAAAAATATTATGTCAGATACTGTTATTGGATCAAAAAAGGCAGAATACCGAACAATACCATTTTCGTTATTTTTCATTCAAAATCGCCCACTGGTTTCTATCTGAGGGAGGCCGTAAAGTCACGAAATATTGTCACGGAAGTAGTCAGCAATTAGCAGACCTAATTTTAAAACGGGTACCATCTAATATTTTTCGTGTTTATGTCCTAAAACCTCTTTATATAAAAATATGCATGTATACATGTGTTTATGTAGTCTTTTTGGGATTTATTTTATTAAGTAATACATTATCATGTCCAATGTGTTATTATTCTACAACTAAAGCTGTCTAGTAATTAGTAGATAGGGGTATAAGATCTTAGTTTGTTTAAGACAAATGATGCATTATTATATAAATCCTATTATTATTGTAATTCATATTTATTCAATTTGTATTAAGCGCGACCTGCATGAAAAGGATGACTCAAAAAAAAAAATTTTAAAATTTAAACGTTATTCAAACCGCTCTGTGCTACGATAAAATCAACTTAGAACCTTAACATTTTATAGTTAGTTTCAGTAGGATATACTTAATGGGAATTGCAGAAGCAAATCATCTAAATCAATTATTTAAAAATAATTATTAAGACGAGTCAATATGTAGTTCAGAACACAGTGCGCCGTATCTCCCGTCTACTCGACAGGGCTGCAGCGGTGTATTTACGGGGGGAATATGACAGCTGCGACCGTGTTGCACTATAGATGAAGGGAGGGCGGGAGGCCGGGAGTCAAACCGCGTATAAAGTAAACAAAAATATTTATAATCAGGTTTATCGTGGATTCCGTAATCTTACTTTCCGTGTGATTATTTTCCGGGTTTTTATATGCGTCCCTATCGGAATTTAACCTAAACTCGTTTCCACCCTACCTTAATATCGTTTCATCGAGTGACTACCTTTATGTGTGGTCAGTATTATCATTGTTATTTTCACATTTTGTTTTTGCCCGTTAATTCTGTCAAGTGACCGGGGATATTAACTAAGCGGCAAAAAAAAATGTGCCGGCCGTAAATAAAGCATACTCGATGGAAAGAAAGATAAGCAAGGACGTTTGCGTAAGGGGCGGTTGATCAATTGGTGGATCGTCAAAAATAACCTTACACTAAAATAATTAAAAAACACAGATGGTTACGAATAAAATAACGAAATAAAAATTATACTAACGTTCTGCACGTATTGCTTAATCTTAAAGGGGTGGGGGGGTTCTTACATGCTAAATGGCCACCTCGGCCTAAAAACAACAGGTATTAGATACATTTAATAATAACAAAAATATAATTTAGACTTATCCGTGATTTTTTTTTTATATTAAGTACATATTAGGTACAACTACCTAATATGAAAAAGAAACAAAAAAGGTATTGATTTAACAATAGGTACCTAGTCAATTTGTGTAAACTTAGATGCAGATCTGTGAAAGATTTTTAATCACAACAAATTAATAACTTAATAACTTTATGTATTATTACTAACAAAGTTGTAAAGAATATTGATATAATATATTAAGTATGTTGTCAAATTATTTTCGAATTCAGTATTTAAAAACACATTTTTGAGTTTTTTTATTAAAGTTATACTCAAATAGGTTTTTAGTATTCAAACTTACAATAAAACTTAAAGTATGTAAAACAATATTAACAACATTTTAGTGTAATGATAATAGTTTACCAACAGTAAATTGTCTCTTGACTTTGTAAAGAAAAACAGTTTTCAAACATACTTACACGTTTAGTATTTTGTATTTAAATATAGGCTTTATGAGATATTAAAGATGACACAATTTGTTTTAAAAGGATACCTCTTTGCCTTGTATGAGTTTACAAATTGTAGCTTATTGTAAAGTTGTTGTTTAGCGACACTCAAAGTTGAATAATTGTTTTACAAAAATTAATTTTATTAACTCATGAGAAGCTTACAACTATATATACATACATTTTTGTATTATGCACTATAAATTATATTCAATTTAAAATATCGGCAATGACAACAAATTCTTTTTATCAAATTTTAAATTGGTTTGCTCTTAGAAGCATTCTATTGGAAATAGAAACACATGTTTTGTACAAAAATAGAGGCTATATTATGCGATATTAAAGATCTTAGCCGTGTTTTTATATTTGTTTTTTTTTTTACAAATTTTAGGTGTGAAGAAGTAGATTTTTCTAACTTTAATTTACCCAAAGTAAAAATTAGATAAAATGTATGCTTTGTAAAGTTACTAATTAAAGGAATTAGTCCAGTATTATAAAAGCTAGTGTACACAAAAAAAATGCTCACAACTTTATAAAACCAATAGCCTTTCAGCTAAATACCTAACTGGAAATAAGTGAACAAAAAATAATGAGATGGAAAATAGTTGGATAACGTATATTAGCGCGACACACCTTTTGGTATTTTATACAAATACTGTTCTTTTAAAAAACATGTAACAACGTAATAAAATGCAAGTATTCTAAATTTTACTTACAATATAGAATATGTCAAGCAAACATAATTAATTATTTAAGTCACCACCTGACATACAAATAAAATTATTACAAATAATAATACGCATTACTTATTTAGTTAATTTATAACATATAAAAATACATTTTATATAGGCCTTATAAAAAATTGTAATTGTTTATAGAATATAATAACCCAATTGAATTTGACGAATATAATTGAGTCTTAGATATTGTCACTTGTAGTGATTTTCGCCAGCATGCACGCGTTTGTGTGTTGTGAAGTTCGAGTGTTGAGAAAAAGATCTGGAACATCTTATTTTAAGGCTTTTCATCAGTGTGTATAACTTTGATTATAATAACACGGGGTGAAACCTATTTATTACACAAAACCGCGGGGTCCGTCTTCTTAAATCTACACCACTGTTAATAATGTTATATCTATTGATACATTATTATTAGTAATGTAAAATAGACGTAACATATGTATATTTATGTAAAGTTGGTGAGTGTTTATAAAATTTATAAAAACCAACTTTCATCAATACCCAATATTTTAATTAAAAAAGCCACCTCTCCCCAATTAATTTAAACAATATTTTCCTATCACTAAAAAACCACATTTTAAATCAAGACCCAATTAATAACCATTTAATGCAACTAACTCATTTAGTATTTCAAAGCTATTTTAGAATTTGGGTCCATTATTACACATTAAGTCAGCCTACAAATCGAATAAGATCCCATTTAACAAAAACAATCTATTTTAAAAATCAATATAATTTATTATTACCTATAATTATATTTTATTATTATAATTACCTATTATTATTTATTATTCTTATTAACCTACCTAATAACTTTATAACTTGATGTATTACTACTAACAAAGTTGTACAGAATACTGATATAATATATTTAAGTATGTTGTAGAACTATTTTCGAATGTAGTATTTAAAAATACATTTTTATTTAAGTTATACTTAAATAGGTTTTTAGTATTTAAACTTAGAAAAAAAATTAAAAGTATATAAAACAATATAATACCCTAATTAAATGTTGACGAATATAATTGAAACATTAATAATGTCATTTGAAGTGATTCTCGCCAGCATGCACGCGTTTGTGTGTTGTGAAGTTCGAGTGTCAAGAAAAAGATCTTGAGCAGAATATCTCATTTGTAAGGCTTTTCACCGGTGTGAATGCGTTCATGCATTGTGAGGTTCGATTTATCAGAAAATAACTTTAGGCATACATCACATTTGTAGGGCTTCTCACCAGTGTGTATGCGTTGATGTCTTGTGAGGTGCTTTTTTTGAATAAATGACTTTAAGCACACTGCACAATTGTAGGGCTTTTCACCAGTGTGCACGCGTTGTTTTGTGAGGCTCGATTTATAGAAAATGACTTAGGCAACTCACAATTGTAGGGCTTTTCACCAGTGTGCACGCGTTGATGTTTGTGAGGCTCTTTTGAAAATACTTTAGCACACTCACAATTGTAGGGCTTTTCACAGTGTGAGCGTTGATGTTTGTGAGGTGCTCTTTTAATAAATACTTTAAGCACACTGCACAATTGTAGGGCTTTTCACCAGTGTGCACGCGTTCATGTTTTGTGAGGCTCGATTTATAAGAAAATGACTTTAGGCATACATCACAATTGTAGGGCTTTTCACCAGTGTGCACGCGTTGATGTATTGTGAGGTACTCTTTTCTGAATAAATGACTTTAAGCACACTGCACAATTGTAGGGCTTTTCACCAGTGTGCACGCGTTGATGTCTTGTGAGGCTCATTTATGAGAAAATGACTTTAAGCACACTGCACAATTGTAGGGCTTTTCACCAGTGTGCACGCGTTGATGTATTGTGAGGTACGATTTTCGAGTAAATGACTTTAGGCACACTGCACATTTGTAGGAGCTTCTCACCAGTGTGCACGCGTTGATGTATTGTGAGGTACGATTTTCGAGTAAATGACTTAAGGCACACATGCACACTTGTAGGGCTTTTCACCAGTGTGTACGCGTTGATGTACTGTGAGGCTCGATTTATGAGAAAATGACTTAAGGCATACATCACATTTATAGGGCTTCACACCTGTATGCACGCGTTCATGTTTTGTCAGATCACATTTTTGAGTGAATGACTTCAAGCAAAATGTACAATTGTAGGGCTTTTCACCATTGTGTGCTCGTTGATGTTTTCTGAGGCTGGATTTTGTAGAAGAACCTTCTATTATTTTATTCGCTTCATTACTTGTACCATTAACACTAGAACAAAGCATTGTCAAGCAATAAGTATAAAGTTCAAAAACAAATTATTCATATCACAATTTATAAATTATTATTATTATACATTCTATTTTAACTAAGTAAACGTACTGATTGTGCAAAAAAATTACCTAGTAGATTTGACTAATCCATCCAGTTTAGAAATATACAAGGTGATATCATCCCATCCTTTATGTGTTAAAGACTTACGAACTTACATTCACACATAGGCGCAACTAGACCTACATTTAAGGGGGTGTTATAACTATGTATACCTGACTAATGAATAAAAAGTTCTTACCTTCAATTTTCATACTATTTGATATAATATAAAACATTTAAAAAAAAAATCTTAAATAACAAATTTCAACGGAGTATGAACATTATTACAATTTTATGCGTACAAATCAAGGATTGGGGCTTGAATTTTTAGGAGTGCTAATTTTGAGTCTGAGGGTTGATATATGCGCCTATGCGTTCACAAACTTGCGTTACCCACTGAACTGAAACTGTCGTCTTAAATTTTAAACTTTAGGGTTTAAACGCATAAAGCGACATATTTATTTAAAAAAATAACTTATTTGATTATTACCCCTCTATTTTACAAATTACAATTTGTTCATTATTTACCGTTAATTTCGAAAATAATGCACACTTTAAAGTTATAACTACTAGTTTAAAGTTATACAAGTGTTTAGATGCAAATTAGACAGTATGTTCTTAATCGAATTGTGACTAATTTAATAATAAGAACGGTATCGCGCTTTCATCAAACAATAAGATTGACAACTGTATACAAAAAATAATAATTGCCTTTACCTGGATTTGTTTTTGATAACTTGTTTTCTAATGCTATTCCGGGATGTCGAGTGATCACTATGCGCCAGAGTAATGTGTCGTGTCACTTTCTTTTTGCTAGCGAATGACATTTTACATATGTCACAGACAAATGTACATATTTCGTCCAAATCGTCATTTATCGTTGGCATACCAGAAAGATCATTTTCTTCAATTTCAATTACAGATTCAAAACGATGTCCACTCAAGATGTCCACTTCAACTTTCACTGTGGTTTTGTTGCACGTACTTATGTCACTAAAAACAAAATTAATTTTAAAGCTGAAAAAAAGTATTTAAAAATATCTGTTAAGAATCATGCAGCTTTTGTAAATAATTAAATTAATCTAAAATGTTTTATGTGTCTCGTACATACAATATGCATATCTGTTATTTAATTAAAAGTCAACCTAAATTTGAAACGTAAGACTTTTAGTTTCAGCCGGGTGCTAAAAAGTTAGTGGGGGTTTTTTTTAATCAAATATTACTATTACTGTGATGTATTTAAAAATATTTTATTGTAAGCAAACCTATTTTTTTCAAAAAAATTACCCCTCTATTTTATAAAATACAATATTTTCATTATTTGCCCTTATTTCGAATATAATGTAATCCTTAAAGTTATAACTACTAGTTCAAAATTATACAAGAGTTATGATTCGAATTAGACAGTATCTTTTTGAACAATATGTGACTGAATTAATAATAAGAACGATATTGCGCTTTTATCTAAACAACAATAAGATTGACAACTATAAACATTAAATAATAATTTGCTTTACCTGAGTTTATTATTGACATCTTGTTTTCTAATGCTGTTCCAGGTTGTCAAGTGATCATCATGGGTCTGAGTAATGTGTCGTGTCACTTTCTTTTTGCTCGCGAATGACATTTTACATATGTCACAGACAAATGTACATATTGCGTCCAAATCGTCATTTGTCGTTGGCTTACCAGAAAGATCATTTTCTTCATATTCAATTACAGACTCAAAACGATTACCACCCAAAATGTCCACTTCGACCTTAACTGTGGTTTTGTTGCACGTACTTATGTCACTAAAAACAAAAAACAAAAAAATAATTAAAAAATATTTGTTAAAAGCTTTTGTACAAATTAGATTTAATTAAAATGCTCTATGTGTCTCGAACATACAATATACATATCTGTTATTCAATTAAAAGTCAATCTAAATTTGAAACGTAAGACTTTTAGTTTCAGCCGGGTGCTAAAAAGTTAGAGGGGTTTTTTTTAAACAAATATTACTATTACTGTGATGTATTTAAAAATATTTTATTGTAAGCAAACCTATTTTAAAGATATAACTACTTATTTTGTTAACTTCATGGATAATAACACATTCGGTATTACAAAGTCAGATTAAACGTTGCCGTTTTGTAAACAGATATATACAGATAATATTTAAAATACTACATATTATTTTTGAAATGTAATTAAAATTATTATATATTTATTATTGTTCTGATACATTTTCGATAGCATTCAAATCATATCCAAACATTTATTACATTATTTTTTAAATGTATTTAAAATATTTAATTTAAAACTAATATTACTTAGACGCATCTCCATCGGTTGTTTTCTCAGAGTCTTTGGTAAACTGCTCTATAGACTGTTTATTTTCGTCCTCTATTTTTATCTTGGTTGTCTGGATATAATTGTCCATTTTAGTTTCAATTCTGGGTGGTTCCTCACTAAAAAAAACTATAAAAAATAAATTAGATTTAATAAAATTTGAACAAAAAAACATGATTTATCTCTCAAAAATAAACTATAGGCCGACTTTAAACTCATTAAAAAATTAAAATACAAGGACTAACACAAATAAATAAAACAAACAAAACCGTAACTATTTTCATTCAAAAATTAAATTTCAAATTCCATTTACATCTACTCTTAAATAATAAATATGTATAAAAGTCTTTATTTTTTTCTGGCAAACGTAGATTATATTTGTTAAGAAAAAAATATACTTGTTAACATACAAACATTAATAATAACTTTAATCAAACCATTGTTGATTAACGGTAAATGGCTTTTGCCATTGCATTAATTGATGTTATATTTCTCGTCATAATATCGACTGCCCTATTAAACAATGTCTTTTTCCAAATTTTCTCAGGGAGAGCAAAATGAACATTTAAATTTTATTCAAATTTATGTTTCATGACATTTTAAAAGTAATTTATTTCTAGTTTGTTTAGATGACGAGATATACGACTTTTATTATTGGCGCAAACTACGATATAATAACCTGGGAAGTTGACTAATTTAGAAAAAATATAACTCAATATAGGTTGCTTACAGATGATATACATATTAATACAAAATGGGTATTATTCAAATATCATCAATACTAATTTTAAATAGAACTCATGGTTAACAATAAAATAGCTAGCAATGTATTATGAATGGTTTATAAAATAAAAGAAACAAAAGTGCGCAGCTAATGCCATTATCACAACTACTAATTTTTTTGTAAATTGTCTGACATACATAAAAAAGGCATTACATTTTCTTGTGTGGTTCTGGAATTACTTATTCTCATATTTTAATAAATATCTCCATTTGGAATGGCTCACTCTGGTCGTACATGTTATTAAATGAAAGTAATTGAATAACACACAAAACTTTTCTTAATTAGTTCAGTAGTTAGGGTGCAAATTTACCAAACATAAGAAAAAGTGTTTTTTAATAATGAGGCCAATTTATATAAGAAAAAAGTGGCATCTACTGTGGCAAATGGCTGTAGTGACTAGAGTTATCGTAACTACAGCCGTTGATAGCGAATCTCACTCTCACGAGTCTATAATTGTTGTACGCAAGAATCGTTTAGACCGTAATAAAAACCACTATCGAACTTGTATACTATGTAGAAAACTAATCCATTCATTAGAACAAATAAAATTATAATAATTAACCAAAATGTTACTCACGACTTACTGATATACGGCTACGAAACCCTTGGTCGGAGCTCCTAGGCCTTAAACCTAAAACGTCAGGTGTAAAATCTTTAATCACACACTTTATGCAATTTAAACTTTTTTTTTATGTAAACACACGACATAATTTTAAGAGTTTTAAAAAAAAGATGATATACCCACCTTGATGTTGACAGTCTACTATGTATACAACCTACTTGATAAGAATGTGTTTGCTTGTACAGTAAGTGATAACT